CGCATAGTTGTTGATATTGCAGTTTAGGAATTAATTGTGATGTTAACAACTGTCCCTGTCTTTTTGCGGCCCGTGAGCGGCGGGGTTACGCTAGGTAGGAAGTCACCGCGAGCTGCGTCGCCGAGGCTGTGTGATTCAGCCCGGCCGTTGTGTGCAAGTTAAAACGCTCCTCAATCCTGTCACGACGGCACCTTCTGCTTCTGTCTCTAGTTTCGATGGGGCTCAAGATTGAGGGTCGCCAGAGCACACCGTACGATCGGGAGGAGACGGTTTTTCGTTAGCATATCGCACCTTCTCTGACAGATCTCGATTGCTCTTCCGAATTCGGAGCCACTTCGGGGCGATTTCTCGCTCATTCAAGCTCATTGCTATTGATGGAGGGCACATGTGTTGCATACACAATGAAAAGAGTTCGTTTTAGTCGGCGTCGTAGACCTAGTCGCTGGGCAACTTTCAAGATGATTGACTGCCTGAGTGCAAGCCGTGCAGATGGCAGGAAACAGATGGTCCCTATCTCGGCCTTGCCTCGACGTGAAATTATGTATCGCTTCCTGCGTGCCGCCGGGGGCACACCCGCGCAGTCCCTCTGAAGGAGAAACCTCGCGACGACACCTGACTGACGTCATCTCGTGTTCAGGCATCGACAGCTCCCAGTAGGTACTTTGGGCGACGACCTTTATGGAACACGCATTATCTCCCAAGTCTTTCCTGGGAACTCAATGATATATTTGTACGGAAAATCACTTCTGAATGACTACGCTCTCTGGGAGATGTGGGTAGACAGTCCGTGAGACTGACGTCAACAATGCTTCGGTGGGTGACGTTTCACCCGAGGGAAGCGCCTGCGCCGCGAGGCGCCTGAATGGCGATACATCAGGAGCTACGATCCAACACGTAGAGAAGGTCAATCTGGACGAGGAGACTACATAGGTCACGGATGATCTCAAGAAGACGTATCCGGATGTCTCCTCTCCGGGATTGGGTCGATGTACAGAGGCGAAAGCGTATTTCGAAATGAAAGAAAACGCTTCTCCGGTCTTCCGCAAGAGTCGCTCGGTGCCGTACGCCGGTCGCCTGTTGCGATCACATCAGCTTCCCTCGAAACTGCAAATTCCTCGCCGCACCTGAGGAGCAAAGTAAGATTGAAACTGACGGCCGTTCCATGTCACGCCGAGACTCGTATGGTCCGGAGGAAGACCTACATTCTGGTTTATTCCTCCGGATTCCGCCAATCGTGAATCAGCTCCGAAACATTCAGACATCTGTTATCGGCAGCTCATCTCTGAAATTCTGGATGGTGGACTTACCGCTCATGAAAGCCTCCGGTGGACGAATTCATCTTTTTCGATCTTAGGATAACGGATGCAGTAAATTAGCGCTCCCAGCGGGATGAGCTGCAAGACAGCGCCCAATAGGAAAGGCAGTCCTGGGAATACGCCGAGAAAGGCCTTGAACAGGAGAGACGAGATCACATCTCCCACGGCCGGGACCAATGACTCGCAAGTTGTCCAGAAGGAGAAGACCTTAGTCGCCTCCGAAGGACCGATGATCCGAGAAGCAGCCGTGGAGATGCCAACCGCGGCGGTGCCACCAGGGACTCCGAACGCATAGCCCAAGGAGTAGAGGCTATCCTTGTAGGCGAACGCTTTGATGGCGTTCTGTATCATGAACGCCACTACTCCGATCCAAGCGAAAGCTGGAAAGTCGGAGGATTCGGCTGAAGATCACGATGCAGGTGGCCGTTGTTGGATCGTAGCTCCTGATGTATCGCCATTCAGGCGCCTCGCGGCGCAGGCGCTCCCCTCGGGTGAAAAATCACTTTACGAAGCATTGTTGACGTCAGTCACACGGACTGTCAACCCACATCTCTCAGAGAGCGTAGTCATTCAGAAGTGATTTTCCGTACAAATACATCATTGAGTTTCCAGGAAAGACTTGGGAGATAATACGTATTCAATAAAGGTCGTGGCCCAAAGTACCTACTGGGAGCTGTCGATGCCTGAACACGAGATGACGTCAGTCAGGTGTCGTCGCGAGGTCTCTCCTTCAGAGGGACTGCGCGGGTGTGTCCACGACGGCACGCAGCAAGCGACACATAATTTCACGTCGAGGCAAGGCCGAGATAGGGACCATCTGTTTCCTGCCATCTGCACGGCTTGCACTCAGGGAGTCAATCATCTTGAAAGTTGCCCAGCGACTAGGTCTACGCCGTCGACTAAAACAAACTATTTTCATTGTGTATGCAACACATGTGCCCTCCATCAATAGCAATCAGCTTGAATAAGCGAGAAGTCGCCCCGAAATTGCATTCATTCCTAAATTGCAATATCAACAACTATGCGCCCTGTCCGCCGGGCGCTAGCAGAGGGATGTCACTGTCGATTCGCGATCTAGTATGCTATATATGGGGTGATCGGAGCTCTATATACCCTCGTTCTAGTGACTCATCAGCCGAAGAGGTCTGCGGGTGGTCGGTCGTCGAACTCCCGCTCAGCCAGGATCTCTTCGAGAATTGATGAAAATGAACTGAGAACTGCATTTTCGGAGATCGAATTCTTTAAGATCACCTCCGTGATACTCCCGTTTTATTGCACGCAATTTACCATTTCTAATCTTCGAGGCTGCCTCGAGGCAGAGACCGCCATTGAGCTCAGTGAGTCGTGGGCCGCGGCAGAGAACGAGACCCCGCGAGACGGACGTAAGTTTGGGACTATCCTTACGAATTGGGGCTGATAACATACATATATTCCTTTAATTTGAGGAAAACGGATGGTATGGCGTCGAGGAGCTATTTTCTCGATGCATATACACAACGAGCGAACCGGTCGGAATCGGCGCTGCGTGAGCTCTCAGTCGCTAGCGGACCCCAGCGTCGAGTGGGCGAAACTCTGAAGTAGAGGCTCCCGAAGGCTCATGCCAGCGTGAGCTCGCCATGTAACTCGATCGCCCTGGAGTGCCAAACTTTCTCTGGTATTGCCGCTGGCACCGCCTCCTCGTGCGGACGGCGTTGCGAGTCCTGAGCGGACCTCACCCGAGAATTCCGTGAATGTGATTGGCAATCGAGCTCACCCATCGCTCCAGCGATCGAGATGTCCAGAGCCGTGGCTGTAAACGGAAGTTCCCCCTTTAAGAATGCAAACGGCCAAGATGCCGCCTCTCGGCGGATATCTCCTGGAATTTTCTTAAGGGATCGCCGGACGAAAATGTACCACAGCTCGCTCCAATTAGTGCAGGATTGCCGTTGAGAACGATCGACTGCTTGCACTCATTAGCAAACACGATTTCCGTATCGGAAATTCGTCAACTTAATTCGGGGGATGGGATGAGCAGTCACCCCGGATGAGGGGGCCTCCCGAATATCGGATAAGTCCGTCCTCGGAAGATTTTGCGAGATTAAGTCACAAGTGCGAAAACGGGAAGGAATGCCAACCCCGAGCCCAGACTTTGGTCGACGACGCTGATTCATCAGTCGAGACATGTAGATCTCACTTCGAGTGGATCGCACGCATTTCCCTCATTGGAACCTTTCCCGACGTTTGTCGGAAAACGTGCTGTATCTTCCCTTTCGATATCCCGACCATATTATTGGACAGTTGAGGCTATGCGACCGTCTGAAAAACGCCTACTCCCTGATGAAGCAGGAATTTCCGAAGGAAATTCTAGACACGCGACGGCGCCGGCCTTGTCCTCGGTCGAACGCTGGTGCGCTGATTCCGCCCCAAGTTCCTCGCATGAGCTCACAGTATAGGGCGCTCCCGAGTCCCTTCGGGACATTTCTCCGCCGTCATTCTGTATTACCTTGAAGCATTGTTGTTGGGGATAGCGCGCTCTGGTATCGGAGAGATTGCTTATAGGACAGTAGACTGAGCGGAACAATAAATCAAAAGTAAACGAAGCGAAACACTTCGCTCACGGTGCTTCGCTGACGGTTACTCTCAACAATTCTCGACCGAAAATATCGGAATCGACAATGAATGACACCTTTTTTCTGCTAAACGTGGCGCTGGGTGTACTGTACACCAGTGACGTCCTGAGCTTCGCGGTCGGTTCGTGACAGGCGGAAGATGCTAATCAGCTGTCCGGACAACTCATCGGGGTCAAGTCGCTCGGGCACTGCTAGGACGCCGTGCGATAGGTCCAGAAGCTTGTTTACATATGTCCATGTATGTATCTTGCGTGTGCGTGGCACGCGTAGAATCCAGGAAGGACAAAATCGTCCAAGGCCCGGGTTTCAATGGAAATGATGCGAACAACATTGTAGATTGCGGCCGGTAGCTCCATCGCCTAATGGCCGCTCGCTTTCCATCGAACGATCCTCAGGTTCGAGGACGCGACCGGGTTGTGTTTCGCTTCTTGCGAAGGCTCGGTTTCCGCCGAGGATCTTGTTGATCCTAGACGCTTCGCCGTCCGAGCGAGTTCGGTGGGATCTGAGGCTTGCACTCAGGGGGTCAATCATCTTGAAAGTTGCCCAGCGACTAGGTCTACGACGTCGACTAAAACAAACTCTTTCCATGGTGTATGCAACACATGTTCCCCACAATTTATTCCCAAAATTGTGACCGTAACAAGTTAGCGCCCTGTCCACCGGGCGCTAGTGGAGGGATGTCACCGCGAGGGTGCCACGCCGCCTTATTTCCACATGCAAGACGGGATCTATTTAAACTTCTGGATACCCGGAAGGACAATGGTGACGGGTAGACGCCTCAACGATGAGCAAAAATGCGCCGCAAGATAGCTCCCTTATGAACCATCGCTCGGGTCACACTTCTATCACCGGAGGAAGCGTGATTCAATCCCTATCGCCGACGAGTTTTTCTTTTGGACCCATAACAGAAAAATGGCGGCCGACAGGTGGTGTTTGAAATTTCGCGCCCGTACGCGTGCTGTCTGCTCTTGATTGCTGCTGCTTTCATGCTCTCTCCATATCTGACCGGGGAGCTTCGAAGAAGGACTGGACTACACACTAAGCACTGTCAACACTGTGATTTTATCGCGACACCATGGTGTTCGAATCGGTTGTCGTCGATGTTCTCAACCGATTCCTCGGCTCATACGTCGAGAATCTCGACCCTTCACAGCTAAAAATCGGCATATTCGGCGGTGAGTTGTCCCCTTCGTTGAAATGTCTGATCCGATGGAGTGGATGAGGGAGAAATTCCCACAACTGCGACGCGCGTGTAGGTTCATGATGGAATGAGCTGACGGTGCTCTTCCCTGGGGCTCGATTGAGGTGCGCGGAGAAACAGGTGTTCGGAATGGCGACCACTCGGCGAGTCGCTCGTTCTGATTGTCAGTGAGATCTGGTTGGGACCACAAGAGACCTCGGGTTCTCCCCGATCTCAAGAGGAATGCTCTGTTCTAAGAAGAGCATGAACCTTCCCGTTTCGACTGTGGAAGGATAAGTCTATTGAAGTCAAAGTCTCTGCAAAGATCCGATAAATAGATCCATCCAAATCGATCGTCTGACAGCTCTCCATTGTCCAGAGCGCGATTGTTCCGGAGATATACCTAAGCTCGAGAATAAGAACAGCTTTACAGATTTCCATCGTCCGTCGCGCTAGATCTGCTCTCGGCCACTCGGTACATTCCGTTCCCGGAATGCGACTGCTTCCGCCAGAAGATTTGGCCTCAGGAGCAAGTTAAACTTGAAGGCATTCGACGGGTCCCAACTCCCAACCAACGAACGCTGCACTGAATTTCCGAAATGGTTGTGATTGGGACTTTCTTTTCCCTGAATTCGGCGCGATCTTTCCGGAGCATCTGCCGAGCTTCGGGAATCCTGCATCAGACGGCGCGTCCATAAATAGCCGTACACCACGGAAGGCTCACAGGAGACCGCGGCGAAAAGCAAAATCGCGCGGTAGTCTTTACTGTTTTAGATTTGACGGCGAAGTCTGCTGATGCAAGCTCGACGAAATGCTGGTTTGTTCACTGCTCACTCCGCCGCACGCCAAGGTCGTGGGATTCGTCCGTGAATGAATATCCAATTCGACTTTTGCGGCTAGTTCGAGCGCTCATGGACATGACGGCGATAATCCTCGTGAACTGGATTCTCGACGACATTCCACTTGGCTTGGAGACTAAATTATAGAAATTGTAGAAAACGATTATTCCTTCTGAGCCTACTAGACATCGCAATTCTCGCTAGACCCCTGATGTTGAACGATATTTTCCGCTTTTCAAGCTGGACCCGGGAGCTCTGCGAAAATCAGGTCCCAAAAACTTGTCGAAGCATTATAAAAGAAGAATCGTCATACAAGTAGCGAGGTCTGCACGGACCCACGACTCCCAGCCGAATCGCTGAGTTCGGAGGAAAACGTCCTGCGGTCGGACGGAGAAAAATGAATTTTCGTGAACGAACGTCACTCTGCCGCAGCAGAGGATCTCGCGTTTCGGGGAGAGAAATCGGGAAAGGATCCCCGTCCTTCGAACAGCAAAGATCCGATTCGTACATCGTTCCCAGTCGAGATACTTCCGATGCCGCGGATTTTGCCACTGTCAGCCGAGATCGCTATCAACTATCGGTTTCCTCAGTTTGTAAACAAAGCCACCTAACAGTGGCGTGGAAGAGATATCTGATCGAATGACTCATGATGCAAGAGAGACACCTCATCGCGGGATCGTGCCAGCCGCCAGGACGGCGAGGGTGAACGTAATTCTTTTTTGAGGAGAATTGGTATTGATCACTCGGCTGAGCCGACCACAGATTCGGAAGCGGTTGATTTGCTGCGGGAACACGCTCTGTCGATGTTGGAACGACAATTCTCGAACTCTCTGCTGTAAAGATGGCGCCCGAAAATTCCGCGAGCTCGTAGATTGGTGGACTCATGGTTTCTGACCATCGAGCAAAGCGTCTCCCAGAGTTCCGGATCAGAAGGAATGACATTCTCGGTCCTCTCGGTCGCGCTTTTCACATCGCGATAAAGGGAACAGATTATTCCCCGTCAACTTAAAAGGCGGAACTGTTCTGGACTCGTTGTCGAGACTATCGAGTGGCGACAATGTTAGGGTCAGGTCAGACTGTGACTAAGGTTTCTTTCTTTTTCCAGGCGATGTCGATCTTAAAGACCTGATCATCAAGCCGTCGGCATTGGACGACCTCAATTTGCCGTTCCAGGTGACCTACGGCTTCATAAGTGAGTTACCGGGAGAAGAGGCAATAAGAATTATTTACTCTGTCTCTGTACATATTAGAGCTCTCGACTCAATCGAATGGAACTCGACTCGGCATCGAACTCGAGAGGGCATGTCAGCTCAACATTCGCAGCTTCATTCCATCGGAAGCTCGACTCTGTAGATCAAACACGAACCAACAGTGTGCGATTAGTAATTTGGAGAGGTTTGGAACGTTTACGAGCGGAACACGAACCAGACTGCGCCACCTAGCTGCGGCCGATTTGTACCTACTCTACTGTTTCCTGGAAAATATTTCCAATGAGTTCCGGGAGACTTTCATGGGTCGCCTCGCAACGCGGCTGCTTTATCAGACGTTGATGTTGAGTGTCGACTCAGCGCCGCTACCAGTGATCATCTATCGCTTCCAACTGGTATCGCTTCGCGGCTCGGCAATGAGCCGAAGTCACTTCGTCGCTTTGCTCCCGCGTCGAGTCTCGCCTCTCTCTTCTTCTCCCTGGTGATTCCGCGAAAGAATGACGTACGTCAAGCGCCTGATGCACTCTCTGGGACTCGAGCCTGGTGCGAGGAACATTCTCTCGGTCCTTGATGCATTGTCTCAGCGAAGAATTCATTCTGCACTGATCATTATCTTCCGCAGAGGAGGAGCAGAAAGCTCGTAATTGGATTCGACCGTCCGGGCGTCCACGGCTTACAGTGAAACTCGTTATAATAAATCGTTTATTTAGAGCGGTCGCTCGGAAAGAGCTCAGAGTTCGTGCCTCCTCCAAGTCACTCGATCGCTCGCTCTTACGCTAACTCCTCCTACTGACTGAATGGGTTTAAGAGAAACGCACCAACTCAGCTACGCTCGACTCTATCGGTTGACCCAAGAAACACAGGGTGTGGCTGAAAGCTCGGCAAGGTTGCGAACTATTGCGAACACACTCGGGCAAACTGATGTGAGAATCGAGTCATTGGAGAACGATTGGTCACACTATCGCTTCCCGAGTTCACGGAGCACAACTGGCAATCATTCAAGCAAGATCGCGGCTTCTATTTTGATTGAAAATCGAGCGAGAAATATATCATCCCAGCGAAGTCCCGCTTGAATCCTCGCTCGTTCGGTGACGGGAGGAGATCTTTGGCGAACGCTCTGAATTAATCGGTGGTGCTTCCGGGTCCATACGAATCTCGGCGTTTTTTTTGCAGAAAAACTCACACTCAAGATACCATGGAAGGATCTCTACGGAGCTCCTGTGGTCGCGTCCATCGACGGCGTGTACGCCGTCATTGTTCCCTCGACTTCGACGAAATACGACGAGCAGAAAGAATTCAGGGCCAGTCAAGATGCGAAACAGAAAGCTCTGATGAGAGTAGAAGAACTCAGAGCCAAAGTACGTATCCGCTCGGATCGGACGGCATCGTTATCTGACCTCCGGGAGCGTCCGAAAGATCGACCGCCTGCTCTACCACGCACTAGGAGCGGATCGAGCTCTTGAGGAGCTCGGTCAAGCAGAATATATGAGGTTCCCTCATGAAGCCCCTTCCGTTTCACTAATCAGGCCTGATCATTCGTTCCGGTTTTTTAGGAGCTCGAATTGAAGAATCCGTCAAAGAAGCCAGAGAAGGAGGATACGCTTGTCGAGAAAATTGTCGCTCAGGTTGTAAAAAACGTTCAAGTGAAAATCGCGAATATCCACTGCCGATATGAGGACTCGTTCACGGATCCAGCGAGACCTTTCTCTTTCGGCTTCACTCTGAGCAAACTCAACTTCGAGACGACCGACGAAAACTGGAAACCCCAGATGGTCGACAGAAACGTGCATATCTTCCGGAAACTGGTTTTCCTGGACAGCTTCTCATTTTACTGGAACCCGAAAGTTCGTCTAATCTCGCATCTCAGTTCACGGGAAATCATGTCGGAGTTGATAGATTCGATAGCGCGCGAAAACTTCAAGCCCCCCGGGATCAACTACTGTGAGTGCGCGCATCGGGCATCCGGGGAGCTGATTTACGATTATTCGCTGCCCCATCCGGACGAACTGTGGTCGCTCGCGCTAATTCAGTTCTGCCTCCCTTAGTGGTGGCACCAATAACGTCGACGGTTCGAATGCGGATAAACCAAAAGCCGGAGCGAGAATATTACGAGATGCCATCGATCACAATCGATATAACCATTGAAGACATCTCGATGAAAATCTCCAAAAATCAGTACCACGATATCATGGCTCTCATGGATTCGATGAATCGTATGTGGTTGGCTGATAAATATCGGAAACACCGTCCTGCCGTGCCGCTCCAGAGCAACGCAAAGCAATGGTAGTGTGTTCCCGCAACTAGGGGTTCGGAATATATGGTTGAAACATATGTAGGCATGAGAACATGCGATCGTCATTGTAGGCAGCGAAAAACCCCTCCCTCCATCGAAGGAGATTATTCATTCTGGACTATTCGCATCCTCCGCGCAGGTGGAAGTTCGCCTTCACCTCGATTCTGGAAGAACAGGTTCGACCTCGACGACAGCAGTGGAACAAGGATTTCCTTCTGGAACACATTCGGAAGGTGAAGGAATACAAAACCGAGTACGCGAATAAACTCACGAAACAGAAGGAATCAGATCGACTGAAAGTGAGTCCCTATCGTCGATTTCATGACCCTGCGGTCGAGGGAAGCATTCGATTCGAAGACCGCGCTCTGGACACTCCACGGAGCTCGGGCCTCCACCCTAAATGCTTATCCATTCGCCCAGAAACTCGAAGAGGAGCTCGATTTGTTCAACATCATTCTTGCTCGGAGGCAAGCTGAAGTGGAAATCGCGAAGCAACCGAAGATCGAAGCTAAGAAGGGCTGGCTTGGCGGCTGGTGGGGAGGAGGAAGCGAAAAAGGTTTGTGGTATTTTTTTTCGTGGGGATCCTTCCAACGAAACTCGATGGAGCGGCTGCTTTCCGTTCACGGGGTCCAGCTCCTTATAGCATTCCACATCGGCAAAGGACTCTCCAATTGACCGTTGTGAGACTTGGTAGATGATTCATAAACTTTCCGTTGCTTTCACGCCACACAGAGAGATCCGCAACAGGTGAGGAGAGCACGAAGCGCGGAGATCCTGAAAATGCTTTGGGGGCGAGGGCTCCGACAGTTCAAGAATCGCCGCCGGCTTGGGACGCATTGGGGAATACGCATTGGGGGAACTAATTCACTCGATCAGTCCAAGGAGATGGGGATCAAACCAGTCCTCGAAGGTGACGCGCCAATCTTTTCCAGCCGCGAATCCGATCGTGAAGAACTTCCAGAAAGAAATGACGGCCGATGAGAAAGCAAAACTCTACGCCGCAATAGACTACAACGAGAACCAGGTCCCTGCAGACTTCCCCATCACTTTCGTTGACAAGAAACTGAACTTCCTCCTGAAAACCCTTTCCATCAACATAGACGACGACAGCACTAAGTGAGTCTGTTTGGACTACCAATTTTTGCGCAGTTGCTGTCCCGAACGAGTCCGTCTGCTCTCGCAGTGGATGTGCCGATGACCTCATCGCAGAACGCTCGAACTCTCTTCCCGCAGGAACGTCGAAACAGTCTTAAAAACCACCCTCAAGGAGGTGTCTTCTTCCATCGACATGCGTCCGAAGGGAGAAGCGATGAAAATCGGCGCAAAAATCGAGGGTTTCCATATCGAAGGTTTCCCGAAAACTGAAATCAAGAGGCGAACGCTCCTCACATCCGACAAAAACGCCGTGAGTCCGTTTCCCCGCGGGCGTTATCCTGCCGGGGATTTCTCTTAGCTCAAAGCCCTGCGTAGTTTTTGTCAATAATTCGTTCGCGCTTCTGCAGGGGACTGAGAAAGCGACGCAGCACCTTTTGGACGTGACGTTCGAAACCAATCCTCTGGAGGGAGGTTGCGATCAGAGAATACGAGTCAATGCGGAGCCCGTTGAAATCTTCTATGACGTTCGATCTGTTGAAGCCGTTGTCGACGTGTTCCGTCCGCCAGACACTGTTTCGCTCGACAAGTGAGTCTGTTGAATTCTTCTTGAGCTCCATCCTCATCGGCGAATTTTCTCAGTCCGATAGACAGAATTATTCTCCCCCTCGAATGAGTTGATTTCAGGGCGTCATTCGATTTACGGGCAACTCGTCAGTCCGCGCGTTCCCTTCATCCGCTCTGATACTATCTCACATGTCACCATCGTTGACTTACAGCATCCAGAACACCGCTGTGTCGAGCTTCAGAAACTTCAAGTCGATGTCTGCGACAGGGCTACAACACGCAATCGACAACAAGCCCTCGCTGGACATTTTGGTCACAGTGAAACCGTCGTACATTCTCATATTCGAGGACGGAAAAATAGATGATAACAAGAACGTGCTAGTGTTCAGCATGGGTCAGCTGTCCGTGAAGAGTAAGCCTCGGAACAAGGATGCCCCCACAGTGAAGGACATGTTCGAAGCAGGAACCGGGGAAAAAGAAGTCCTCGAGGTGAGACCCTATCTGTTCCTCGAATATTCACCCGTTATCTGTCGGAACGATTTCAAATGAGTGCTTTCTCTTCTTTCCGCGTTCCAGGCGCTCTTCAACGAGGCGTACGATAAAATGCAGTTCCACCTGAGCGCCGCTGAACTCATGATCGTTCCTGGCTGCGAGGCGTGGAGGGAATGCGTGAAGTCGGCGAAGAAATCTTCGAACATCCATATACTCCAGCCGACAGATCTATACATCAATGTCGACATCTGTTTCCTACCGAACGAGAAGAGAATACCAAAAATGAAGATTTCCGGCAAATTGCCATGTTTGGAGATTGATCTCTCCGACGAGACGTTGATCAAGGTCCTGAAAATCCTGGAGACGATGGGCGGTCAATCGCCTCCCCAATCCAAGATAAAAGAGATGGGCCAGAGTACGGCAGTAGAAGAGGTCAATATCGGCACTGCCCCGGCGGCCAGCCAAGCAGCGCTCATCAAGGATCGGGACGCCGAGAATATCGCCAACCTCACCCGAGACAAGGATAAGGATGAACTTCGTATGAATCAGGCCGACATTTACGATGCGGTATTTGTCGACCTTGCCTTCGAGATCAGCAAGTTCCTCGTCAGGGTGCAACAGTCGAAGGTGGAGAACGGCAGAAGCGTCGCGAATCCTCTTCTCGTATTCGCTACGAACGAGTTGAGGGTTTCTCTCCTCATGCACCTCGCCGATATGTTCTGTGAAGTCACGCTCAAGGATACGGTCCTCACCCATCTCGCGTACACATTGCCGGACGCCGAGAATCCCCTCAAAGTACTGGAGAGCAGCGTCGATCCCGGGACGGGATATATGCTGAAATTATCGTGAGTTGAGATCGATTGAGGAGAGAGATTGGAAGCGAATTGCCAATAATCGAGAATTCTCAATTCTTGACGGTCACCTCTTGATTCATTGAACGGAAGATTTTTCTGAGCGTCATTTCTTCTCTCCGCAGGTACACCCAGGTCGAGCCGAAACATCCCGATTTCCGCACTCGCTTCAATAGCACTCTGGCTGCGGTGAAATGCAAAGTGGGCGAGATGACTTTTGCACTCCATCAGGAAGCGATCAAGTCGCTAATTGAATTCTCCACCAACCTCACCGATCAGCTGAGCGGCGACTCAGCGAAAGCGTCCGCTTCGTCAACGCTGCCGGTGACTGCCGAAAGATCTCAGACGGCAGGAGCCGTCGCGGCTACGGCATCGCCGAGTCCCAACCCGATGGCGTTGATGAAAAAAGCTTCGAAGAAGCCTCTAGTCACTCAATTCAGCGCTCATGCCTCACTGGCCGCTCTGAAAATCATTCTGTGTCGGTCTCGCCGTTTACTGGCTCAGATGGACGTCACCGGTGTAGAGGCGGGAGTCGAACAGACCAAAAGGAGTATGACATCTCATGTCGTCCTCAGAGACATCAGCATGATCGATCCGAACGAGGGATCCAAGCACCCCCAGATTATATCCATCACCGGGGACGAGGTCCTCAACTTGAAGATCTCCCAGTTCGAAGAAAGCGGGGCCGAAGGCTACACCAAAATGGATAAAGTGGACATGATGGTCGACGCCACGATCGGGAGAATGCACTTTGTTTTCCTCTGGAAGTTCTCCCTCGACCTCATGTCTTTCTTCGACGCGTTCCAAGCTGCCAAGGATAAAGTCGCCGACGCGACAGCAGCCGCCGCAGCGGCGGCCAAGGGGGCCGCCGAAATGGCCTACGAAAAAGCGTACAAGATGGCTCTCAACGTGATCAGTAAGTATTCGGCATAGAGATATTCTGACAATAATTATTGCTGATGAAAGAACAATTCCCGGACCTTTGATGGTCGCCCTTGAGCTCCCTCCCTCTCGCGCTGCTAATGACCTTGCCGTCCTCAGTCAAGGCTCCGGTGATCTACGTTCCGCAGAGCTCGTTCTCTCAAAGATGTCTAGTCATGGACTTCGGAGTTCTGAGTATCGGAAACACTTTCCAACCTGGACCCTCGACGCCCGCCAACAGCGTTCCTGTTCTATACGAAAATACGAAAATCAGCATCGACAATCTTATGATGTATCGCTGTGATTTAAAGCCGCTCAAGCGCGACCCCGTGGAGAATACTCAGTTTTCCATCATGGACCCGGTGTCGTTCGGGCTCGAGGTTCAGAGAAATCTCACGGCCGCGGCCCACAAAGAGCTCCCGGAACTACGAATGAAAGGGACCGTCACGTCCGTCAACCTGAAGGTCGGCGAGGACGACTACGCCGCGCTGATGAAGACACTCAGTGAGAACTTCGCCGAAAGCCCGCCGGGCTATTCGGCCCCCGCTGATCCCCACGCTTCAGTGGATCAAGCGTCTCAAGTACAGGCTCCGACTGGAGGCAAACCCAGTGGAGCGGTCGCCGTAAGCAATAAAGAAGTCGTCACGGTGGAGCGCCACCGTCAAACGAGAGGGGCCGAGGAAGACGAGGAGAAGCTCGCGCGAATGGAAATATTTTTCACGCTCCAGGAGATCAAGCTCGAACTGTTCACCAGACGCACCGCTGAGAAATGCAGCGAGCTATGTGCCCTAAATATCGCAGGGTTCAAACTCTGTGGGATATTCTACCACGACGACTCGTACTGGGTGAACATGTTCCTCGTTAATCTGCTGCTCGACGATGAGCGAGCGTGCCGACGCGACGGTATACGTCGGCTGATATCGAAAGTTGAGGAAAGCGAGAAAATGATCGACATCATCTATCAGGCAGAGAACACGGGCGCATTCGCTGCCATTGTTAACGTTTCAAAAATGCGTTTCGTCTATAGCGCGTCGCTCAACATGGCGCTGCTCGATTTGCTCAATCAAGCGAACGTCAACGCTGAGAACCAGTTGGAGAAAGAACGCGAACTGTCGGAGAAAAGGACTACGGGTCAATCTGTCCTGACAAGCACTGCCGCCGCTCAGGCGGCCGCAGCACCTGCCGCACCGAATAAAACTGTACCTTTCACTCTGATTCTCCAGATCGTTCAACCCGACGTCGTTCTGGTTGCCGACCTGGAGAATCCTTCCTCGGCGTGCATTATTTTCAAGAGCTCAGTCAACATTCGGGTGAAACAGGACGAGAACAAGATGAACACCAGGCTACAACTGCACGATATTGAGATGTTCGTCTCGTCGCTTGACTCGACTGGGGCTCGCTCGGAAATCCTGCGTCGTTGCGACATCGTCGTAGAAATGGATCAGGATTCAAAGTCACAAAACGCCAAGATCGATGTAACCCCCATCGAAATCCACATGACGCCCTCCGCTGTGGAGATTGTCAGCGCGAGCTTGAGCGCACTCAGCCCCGCACCTGTGAACGCCAGTCTAGATGATGTCCCGGATTTCTTTGATCCGACCAAGATCTGGGTGCCGCAGAGGTTCGATAATCTCAACTTGTGGTTCACCAAGAAAGATGCGACGCGGAGCAACATCGAAAAAGCTAAGGAGGCTGTTGAAATCCCAGCGGGCGCAGGGGACGATTCAGCGGGAGCTGTTTTGTCCCAGGAAGCTTCTTTCTCCATGGAACAAATCTTGATCACCATCGAGCAGGGCTCCGGCGCTCAGACCATGCCGATGCTCCTCGTGAGCTCTAGCCTAAAAGGTGATGCTCGCAATTGGGCGTCTCAGTTGGAACTAGACAGCGTCCTCAACTGTTCGGTGTCGTATTATAACGAAAGGTACGGTGACCGGAAAATATTGCAATGAGAGCTTCCTACGATCACATTGTAGATTATTGTTGAAGTCGCATAGATACATCGCGGTGATCCGAGAAGAGGATTTGTCGCGAAGCGCCAGATTCGCGTGTCCCAGTTTTTACGCACGATTGTGTTCCGAGCAGGTATGCCGTTTGGGAACCGATGCTCGAGTCGGTAGAGACTGTGAGCGGTGCGAGGAAACCCTGGGAGACCACCATGGAAGTGCGAGCTGCGCCGCCGACTGACCGCGAAGATGGAATATCCGCGCTGGACTTGGACTCCAAGTTCAAGGTCGTCATGAAGTGCTCTGATAACCTCGAGTTCACAGTCACGAAAACCGCCCTGCAGGTATTGCAGTCGCTAGGTCAGGAGTTCTCGCAAGCTCTCCAGAAGAAGCAGGACATGGTCGACTCCCGGAAAGTAGACGCGCCCTATTGCGTCAAGAACTCTCTCGGCATGCCTCTTACCTTGAATGTCGAGGATTCGAACTTTATGATCATCACCACGGAAGGTACGCGAGATTTTTCGTTCGAAGATCTTCTTGAGTCGACACGATGCACGGAATATCATTAACAACATTGAGATGACAAAAAATGACATCTCCCCCAGTCGAGACATTCTGAATGAACTGGTCGACTTCCCTTTCCAGATGAGGCCGCTGTGATCGAGCATGGGAAGAAACTCCATCTGGACTTCCGAAACCGATCCACTGTGGTGTCTTTCTCCGCCGAACCGACGAAAGATGTCAACGAAGCCAAAGAAGACAAATTGTTCTTCAATGCACAAATGAACTTCGGCAACATCAGCTCCGATCGGAAACTCAACGTCAACCACACGGCGAAACGAGTGTTCCGAGTTCCTTTCAGATCCTATCCCGGCGACGACTGGTCGTTCGTGGTCGACGTGAAGTCGCACTACGGCTCCAGACTCGTGACTCTCTGCTCCATTGTCAATGTTTACAACGCTTTCTCCGTCCCGATGGACGTTTACTATCGGAGAAAGGACGAGTTGGAAAAATGCGCCTCGGTTCCCCCCAAATCCCTGAGTCACATACCGCTGGTGGCCTTGTACACTCGGACGAACGAACTCCTGTTCAAACCGGCTGGCGATCGCTATCAAATGGCAGAAGAGGGTTTCCAGTGGAAAAAAGAGGGTCGCTCGGATCGTCTCATCGTATGCAAGGCGACGAACCCGAGCAAAGCCGTATGTTTCGATCCGTCATGATGATAAGCTGTCCGGGCCCATTCGATGTGCCGTCGACCCACTTGCCCACCTATTAAACTGATTCCAATGCTCTATTTCAGTCCTTATTCATGAACATCATCACGTCCGTTGAGCAGCTGCCGTACGACGATAGCCCGACCGAGAAGTGTGCGGTCTACACCCTGAGACTGGCGCCCACTGTGATAGTCAACAACCTGTTACCCTTGATGGTGGATATAAACTCCAAGGAGAGCAATGTCCACTTTGAGCTGAACAGCGGCGGCGAAATCGAGCTCTGGAACTCGAAACCGACTCAGAGCGTCCTCAATATACGGCTCGACTACGCCGGGGTGAACTGGCACTGCGCGAAAGTTTTGGACGATGAAATCGAAGAGCTGTCGGCGATCACTCTGAAGGACTCAAACAACGCTGAACACGTCTTGGTGAGTTTCGCGAGCTCCCGATGGGGCTCCGAGAGGCTAGGCAGAGGTTCATCGGTGCTTTCGGTCGAATCCGCAGATTCACCTTCCATCGATACGTGTCGAACAAGTTTCTGTACAGATGTGGTTACAGGATTTGGCGATGCATTGCGAGACCAAAGAAGGAAGCAAAGTCTTGTCGATCCACTGCCCGTTCTGGATGGTGAACAAGACTCAGACCGATCTCTATTACAAGGTGAGTGCGACCAAGAATGACGCGAAGCTCCAGGAACGCGAGACGGCGAAACGCCTTCGAGAGAGTTCCCTTGGTCCCCGTTGTAGTTTTTGAGAATTTCTCGTTAGATTTCGCACATTTCATACCAAACCACACCACACGGAAGCAGGTCGTTCTATGTCTCTATCTGGATGATTCTCCGCGGTTTCCGCATCTATAGATCGGTCGATTCAGATTGGAACGCATGAACGCAGCACAAGAGGAGCTAGTTGTGCTCACTCGGACATGACTTTCTATGTAGTAGATACTAGGCCGTCATCCACTTACATTCCGAACTCGACTGACTGACTGATTCATTTCCCAAATCCTTTCTGCCGCTGCATAGAAAGGGAAACGCTCGAAGGCTGACTCCGCTCCTGTAGGCCCCAAGCCCAGAAGACAAGTGAGTTCGGATATGGATCCGGGAGCTTCGCGACGCTTGCCGTGCTAACGAAAGCGTTTCTCTCCGTCGATTGATTTCTCCTCATCCCTTGTGTTGTGTTCCTGAGTTCCAGTGTATCGAAAGACCTCACGATCTCTGTTCGGGTTGTGTTCGCGTGGTTTTCGTTCGAGTCTCCTTTCTCTCCGTAGTTCGATCAGGCAAACGATCAGGCGCCAAAAAGTTCCAGTAGATCGACTCGAGTGTTGACGGAATCGTTTCTATCCCTCTCGTCTATTCTCATTCATTCCTTCTCTCCGATCCACATCGTTCATTTGCCGCTAGCGAGATCATTTTGGGATTGTCAGATACGAATGCTCCACGGTTTCCCGACCGAGTCAAGACATCGACACTGGCGGAAGAATGAGTCGTCCCCAGGGGCCGATTGGGTGGTTGTTGTGAAGTGAATGAACCCATACTCAGCGTTTGGTGAAAATTCCTCGATGACCGTGTACGTTCGCGAGCTCGAGCATTAACCGATGGTTTGATCTCTTCTCCTTCAATCTGAACTGCTTCGAAACTTTCCCTAAGCTGGGCTCCGCTCACGCCCTAATGGAATTCTCCGCTTGGGCTCTCGACCTAAACACCTGATGCGTCCTATGCTCTGGATCGCTCCGCTGTCAGGTTCAGGATTTCGCATCGTCCTTAAAATTTTAAGAACCGCATTGCAGATAGCAGAATCATCGACGAAATCGAAATGCTGTTCGTGTTTCAATGGCTCCCAGCCGAATGAGGTACATCGATGAGTACACATCCTAGTAGAGACCTTAACGGTTGTGGTTCATTCCGATGCTGTTGACGGTTCAGTGTCGGATTCATTCATTCACTAACCAACCTCCACCTATCGGCCCGATAGGATTCCGCACAAGAACACAAACATCGCCGGCACATATCGAATATGAGTCAGGCTTCTAAGAGTTGACTGATCCCCGATTGACGTAACCGTACCGAGTTTTCGCAGGGGTTGGAGGATAGCGTCCGACACGCACAAGACGATGAAGAGCCCCTGCTGTTCACTTTCGGGGCGAAGAACATGTTCGCGCCGAAGAAGAAAGTCTGTGTCCGAATTTTCGACTCCGACTGGTCTTCGAAAACGCCTATGGATGCCGTCGGTCAGTCCGGGACGGTCATGGCTAAAAGCTCGAAGACGGACCAGATCTATCCGGTGAGCGATTAGAGATTGTAGTGTTTTCCGGAGCAGCCCACGGGCAGTCATCGGAATGGATCCGAGGAGAACGGAGATTCCCGAGCTCATGACACAATCAAGGATCAGATCGACGTCGTCGATCCAGGATGAGACACCTAAGCTCTCGAGATATAATCATCAGATGCGAAATCGGCTTTGGAATTTCGATCGAGAAAAATACATTCTTGATGCTGAAAATGACTTCCTCTGCTTTTCAGTTGAGTGTTCACATCGCGCTCAGCTCGACTACCCTGACGAGGATCGTGACGTTCACGCCTTTCTACATGGTGACCAATAATTCTAAATTCGGCGCTATTGAAATCCGGGAGAACAGCCCCAATGCCGAATGGATCCTCGTAGAGCAGAACAAATGCGTTCCACTGTGGCCGATGGCTGTGGCCAAGATAGAACTGATCGCGCGATATGCTGGATCGACCGAAATAACGGTGCCGTTCGGTTTGAAAGAATCCAGTCTGGTGCTCCTGAGACTCGACAACAAGGTATTCAATACGTGGGGGCTCCTCTTCAGCGAGTTCGCGGGAATACCGGCGCGACCCCTGGAGAAATCCTTCCGAGTAGAGCATTGCTTCTCTTTTTCCAGTACGCCGGAATTTACATGTCGTGCCAAGTGGAAGAGAGCGCCACGGTAGTATCGTTCACGGAGTACGAGCAGGGCCTGTCGGCTGTGTTCCTCGTCAACGACACCGACGAGAACGTCTACTTGCGTCAAGAGTTCAACGGTTCGTCCTCGCGATGTGTACAGGTCGGCCAGTCCGTCCACTACGCATGGGAAGATCCCCGAGAGAACAGACAGCTGGTGTGCTGGGTTTACGACAACGACGTTTGCAAAGTCGGCCCACTGACGGTAGGTTCGGACGAAAATCGGGAGGCGGGGAGCAAGCCGGAGAACAAGTCTGAGTCGGCAGCAAGGAAATGTCTGAGGCGTTTATGTGGTAGAGCTCGTCAGACCCTGCCCCGCCGAAAAAGAGAGGTCAAATTCTATTTCGAACCCACGAAACGAACCGGTCCGTGGAGCCCATCCAGTTCCGATGAGGGCAAAGAGGGGTTTCCCGGTCTGAGCGGGTCTCCACGGAGAAAAGATCAAGCAAGCAAAACGGAGACGAATCCCCATAAGTCTCTTCTAGGTCTTCGGGGACCGAAAGTTCGCGGCATCCGTATTCTGCGGAGCTCGGTATCCGACGAAGACACAGTCAAGGGCATTCTCAAGGGTAGAGGCGTCGCTGCAAGAACGACTACCCCGAGAACGAATACTCTAGGTAGTTCTGGGAGGTCAAAGGCTAAATCCAAACGTCGAAAGAGAAAGAAGCCCCGAAAGAAGGAACCGCCGAGGAAACCTTGCGCCTTGTGCGATGAGCGCATCGCACCTCACAGGTTCCGGGAAGGTGCCTACAAAGCAACTGTTCTCCCACAGGACGCAAGTGGTCAAATCAAACTACCTCAGGATAAGTTCATATTCTGGGCCTCGTTCCTGGACGGCAAGCAGCGAGTCCTCTACTTCAGTAAGGATTCAGAGCACATGGTCCGAGTGGAGAAGGTCGGACAGCTCGAGAGGTGTAACACGGAATTCGACCTCGAATACCGAGGTATCGGTATTTCCCTCGTTGATGATGAACCGAAAAGAAGAGAAATTCTTTACGTCTCCGTATCCGGCTCGGGCGTGCAATGGCTCTCGCGCAGCAAGCACAAACCCAAGTACAAGCCGATCAACGCAGAACTCAACTCTCAGGTGAGTCGGCGCGACAAACAAGATCCCTTCTCTGAACAAAATCGAACGAGCGACCGATTGCATATATCATATATATATATATATATATACGGGCGAGGATTTTAAGGCTCCTCGTCGTCTCGCTTTCCTCCGCGTGTCTCGCTCAATTCTGAATTTAATTCCGGCTTCGTAGGTTGAGGCCGAATATCAGAAATATCTGAACATCGCAAAGGCCATTGGACCCGCCAACACCCAGAGTACTCCAATGGGAAAATACAGATTGGATTTCAATCGCATGCAGTTGACGACTCATGAAACCAAGAATATCCGACGATCATGCGAACCCGGTTTATGGCTGAGGATGAAACTCATGGACACCCAAACAGCGGTTCATTTGAAAGTTCATCGCATCCAGATCGATAACCAAATCCGAGACTGCCAGTTCCCGGTGGTTCTTTCACCGATTGTCTACAAGAAAACGATCGGCGAGCAAAAGATCCCCAAACCATTCATCGAGCTCTCGGTGATCATGCGACAGTTCCCCGGCGCCTCGCTGCGTCAGATAAAGTACTGCAAGATGTTAGTGCAGGAATTCGCCATCCGCGTCGATATGTGTTTCATAAATTCGCTCTTGGCGTTCGTAACGTTGTCGGCGAAGAAAACCACCTATGTAAGTCATGCTGAAAATTGGGGGAAATTGAGATTTTCATGATTTCGGTAGAGTTGTGATGTCCTTGAATATTTTGTTCAGCTCAAGATTCATTCACTCGGGGATTTTTCATCCCCAGGCCGAGCTCATGGAGCGTGACGTCAGCGTGGCGAGGACCTCTCTGAGAGAGATCGCGTCCGTCCATGCCGTTCAGGGACAACGCGATTATATTGACTATATGCATCTCAGTCCAATGAAGATTCACCTGTCGTTCTCGATGTACGCCGGTGGATCGGCACCTCCTCCTCCGGAAGGAGCTTTCAGTGGGGTCAAGCTGCTGCTGCAGAGTTTCGGAGTGACCTTGACCGACATCCAAGGTGCCGTGTTGAAACTGGATTATTTCGAGCGGAGCAACGATTTCCTCACCATGAACCAACTGTCTGGAGACGTTGCATCGCACTACAAGAAGCAGGCTCTCAAGCAAATATACGTCGTCATTCTGGGACTCGACGTCATCGGGAATCCGGTCGGTCTCGTCATGGGAATCTCAGCCGGTGTCGGGGATCTGTTCTACGAGCCATTCCAGGGAGCCATCCAAGGTCCTGAAGAATTCGTCGCAGGTTTGGCCCAAGGTAAGACTTCGTTCCCCGCGTCATGGAGCAGGTTCGGGCGAATTGGGAAACCTCTTCCCTAGAGTCCTCGTTTCCGATCGTTAAATTATTTCCCGAACGCAGGTGTCGCAAGTCTGATAGGGCATACGGTCGGCGGAGCTGCCGACGCCATGGGGAAGATCACGGGCGCACTCGGCAAAGGCGTGGCCGCCCTCACAATGGATGAGGATTATCAGAAGAAGAGGCGTATGGAGAGGAACAAGCGACCACAAGACATCACCGAAGGTATCGCCCAGAGCGGAAAGGATCTCGTCATGGGATTCTATGACGGAGTGACTGGCGTCGTCACCAAACCTCTTGAAGGCGCTCGAGAAGATGGCATCGGGGGCTTCATGAAAGGAATGGGCAAAGGTCTCATCGGGATAGTGGCTAGACCTGCGTCTGGAGTTGTCGATTTCGCAAGCGGGACATTTGCTTCCGTGAAACGGTACGTGAGCTTTCCCTCCGCTCGGCATGATGCTCTCAATGAGACGCGTTGCTGCCCAGAATTTCTCACAGCGAGTGATTTGTGGGCAAATTACAGGGCGACAGAGCTTGAAGAAGTAGCTCTTCCTGTCCGACCACCCCGTCTCGTGCGCGATAACGGCATTGTTCAACCGTACAATCGCATGGAAGCGGAAGGTCATCAGCTTTTGCAGGAAGTAGAAAATGGGAAATACGCGGCAACCGACGCCTACTTCACCCATCTGAGCGTGTGTAGCGACGGAAGGAACTTCGTCATCATCACATCCCAGTGAGTGACCCTTCTCGAAAATCGGGAATCCGACGAGTCGTGCGTAGCGACCACTTGACTCGATTCTTGTCTTTCCGCACTTCCAGTCGGATCCTGTTTGTCGAAAAGGGCGACATCTTCGGTCATTGGAAATGCGAATGGGAATACATGTGGGAGCAGATCAGGCCGCCCATGGCTTGCTCGGAAGGAGTTAAAGTGCTACTTAAGGAACCCAAACGGAAGAACATGTTCCAACAGAGGGAGAACGGGAAGATTATCAGCATACCGGATCGCCAGATGGCGGAGGTCAGTCATGCCAGTACATACACTCGATGTGGAAGCCATGATGAAAGACTCGTCCCCGAGATCTTGATGCTTGCCGGAGAGAACTGACATGTTTCCTTCATTTTAGTGGCTCTGTCAGCAAATCAATCGTGCGATGAAGAAGAACGGCTGAATTGTAAAAATTGCTCTAGGAACTCTCCGCGGGCTTTGTTGATATTCCCGACTTCAACTTACTAAATTAAAAGTCATGCTTTTCGTTATGATTTTTTTTGGTCAGGCGCTTCCTACGAACGTTCCACTCCTGCTCCATTATTCGAGGTATCGGCCGTGTGACCCGTGTGAATCCTGATCCCGCGCCTCGATCGTGGAGTCCATTGATCCTATTTATTACTTCTTTCACTTTTTCCTTCCTTTCCGCTTCTCATAGGAAGAGTGCTCGCCCCGAGTGCGAAAAGCTGTCGAGGGTTGCTGCGAAGTCCAACGAATGCAGCGGCTGGGCAAAATCAGAGACCCTCACGACACGAAGATGATGCTTTGTTTTCTATGCTGACCATCTAACTTTACGGAATAACTCGACCCAGGCTTGAAAAGAAAGAAATCATAGTGAGAGGATATGGAACTTCTAATAATGAATTGATGCAGCGACATTACCCCATATGCTCAGAACAGCACAGATGGATCAAGCTGACTGATATTGACTCCTTTCGTGAGGTGCAACAGTTCGGCGTACTCGACGTCTCTCAGTGATTCCGCTTGCCGCAATCGACCTGTCTGTCGAGGATTGCGGACATATTCGTTATTGTGTTCGAGTTGTAGCCACTCGTTCCATACGCAACGCTCAAGCCGTTATTTTTGCCTCTTGACTCGTTACAGGGGACAGTTGTTTTCGGGACATACTCCTTGACCAAAATCCCGATCTCTGTTGATATTACGACGGGGAAGAAGCAGACTTTCTGTTGTTCCCTCCGATTCACAGCCAGAGGGAGACGGGCACGCATTCAATGAACTATCTAAGCAACGACCCTTGATGTTGTCTCTAAGATGATATTGATGAAGCTCATTTTGGAGACTTATGGATTCCTGTAAATTCTCGGTACGAGCTCAGATGATGAAAATAAAAGTCGGAGTTCCTGAATTCATCAGCGCGGTTATCTCCGTGGACGGCTCATGCGTTCGGAATCGAGATCGATCGCCAGTTCCCAGCATGGAATGAGACACATCAATGTGACTCTCTATTATACCTCCTATATATCTCCTCTCCCTTTCCCCACACTCCGTCCAAGACTCAGTAGACTCAATCCGATCAGTTTCGGGTGATGTGATGACGGTGTTAGATAACAGAGAAATGTCTCGATACGATGTAGAGCGATTCAGACTAGATGTACTTGCTCGTTGCATCTTGTGACCTCGAGAATTTTCAGGCATCACGGAGGGGTCTGCTAGTATCAGTGCGTCTATCACGATGCTCATCGAATTCCGCGTCAGATCCAGAGGACAACCAGCCACGTCCTCAACAGGACTGAAGAACTCGGTTGCAGAACTTCCGGACAGCGCTCTACTTCGAAGAGTGAAAACGAGTCTTAGCTTGGGTGTCGAGGAGCGAACCTCTACCCTCAGTCCTCCCCATCTGGCCGATTGATGGAATGTTCTCTCTTGGGAAGATGGGAGAATTCCCACTAAGGTGCCAAACTGGACCGTTCTTCGCCTTCATTTCGGATCTCGGTTTTCAAAAGTATCGACGCGCTCTCGGGGAAGTCATTCAAGCTCCGGAGGTAGCAAAGTAACGAGGAGGACCCCGAATTCGCCGAATAGGTATTCAAGAACTCCGTCTGAGGGACTTCGAGAGTAGGATCCCAATTCAAGGTAATACTCCGGCACCCATCTCGAACCGAAGTGCGTCTGTCAGCAAATATTTCCGGCTCAGGGGGAATGAAAGCCGCACCATTCTCATGAAACGGGTCATCGGTCGAATATGAGCGGTCGGAGATGACCACCCGACTCCGAGGGGTTCGGAAACTCAATCAAATTGGAATGGCGCGACCCGTCGTCGAGTCTGTAGAAACGTGATTGTTGGAACCGTTTTTGATGTCCGTGTCGAATCATTCAAGGATGTCGAATCTGACGAGAGGTTTTTTTTCTGCATCGAACTGTCGTAGGCTTGGCATTTCTGGCGTTAATGACTTGGATGATTAAGACGACTCTCGGAGAGAGTATCGAGGACATTATCTGTATCGGATGTGCCTGGAGCCCCCGGTTTTCACTCGGGTTTGATTTGCGGAGTTCTCCTACCAGAGAGCACGAACGAGTTTCCCAGGCCTTGCTGCCTTTGTGCCGATTCGTCGTTCCAAGGGGTCGAAGTGGGTCGTAAACCAAGAGTTTAGCCCGAACGGTGCGGTACTACCGAGTCGACCGCAGACATCGCGCGAAGTGAAGGGAAAAGTTCAGATAGGAACGGAGCCCTTACGAGGCAGTTTGTCGATGTCGGAGTGTTATATCGGATGTGAAGCGCCTCATTTCCCGGATCCGTCATGCAAACAAACCCTCATTAACGCGCGATGTTTCCGCGTATCGAGAAAAGAAAACTCATGCTGCCGCCCAGGTTCGTTTCTCTCTCCGGCTCTTGTTGTGATCGTCGCCGGCAGCATCATCCAGCATGCGTCTCGTTGTGGTGGGCAGGGCTCGTCGCGTATTTCCCTCGCCGCTTCGGAGCCATAGCAGCTGACTGCACTCGCTCTTTCATCGTTGCAATGGTGGACTGGTCGGCTGTCACCCCTGACTACTCGATCGAACCTTGTGTTTGTGTAGTGCTCGAAGTCCGTCAGCCTCCTACGTAGAAGAGGACGTCGTCAGTTCCCGACAAAGTGAGTGATTTCCGTCGGCGAGCTCGGCTCAGCTGCTTCCAATCCTCGGAAGATTACATCTGGGAAGCGAACTTCAAGGTCTCTAAGTTTCCTTTACGAAGTTTCCCGTGGCCAATCTGAGCGAATCCAGTCCCGTTGAGCTCGGGATCCGTGCGTTGTGTCCTCTGCGGAGGTTTGGAGCTCCGACCCTCGGCTCCAGCCGTGGCTCTTTGGCGGTGTAGTCAGCTTCGAAACTCTGTGTCGGCTCGAACCTTTCGCTCACTCCAGGGGGGGTATGGGGAACGCTGGGCCCATCCAAAATGGCGGCCCCGAACTTCACAGACGAGCCGACTAGCAGATAGCTGAAGCAGCTGGCCAGACGATCGAAGCGTAAGTTGTGAACAACTTGGTTTAGCCTGACCGCGGGACGCTCTATTGGAGCATTCGATTTTGGCGCCATCCACCGCCGTACGACGGTGCTTCGCTCGTACAGTTATCGGAGACGAAGCCCCAGTTCTGGGATCGCGTGAACTGCGGCGAGTTTCCACGCGGTGAGAGTTTTACCGTAGCTTAGTTGTAGCTCGCTGCTGGGCTTTGGCGGATGTTGGCAGCTAGCAAGCGAGATTCTCGTGCATAGACGACGCCCAAAAAAACCGTTGAATAAAATATATAAATGGCGAAATTTTCTGACGACGTCGATGCGAGCGGGGCCATCTCCCGCAGTATCGTCCACGATCTTGTCTTGGGTTTCGCTTCCCGACTCTCGTGTGGCTTCGACGAAGAACCCGAAAAAAATTGGACGTCTCAGGGCAGTGAAAGTCTGCCTCCTCCGCAGAGAGTCAGCAATCGTCCAATCTGAGCTCCGAATCTAATTTGAATTTACGCAAAAATTTGCCCAAATGAGACATTCGCTCTGCGAACTATTTGCTTAGTCAGAGCTTCCCGAGTATCGTTCCCCTTCTGATATCGCCTATGAGTGAACGTGCTCGAACTCACTCGAGAACAACAGATGGCCTGCTTGGTCACGCTCCTCACTCAGAACCGTAGAGGACGTCGAAAAAGTTTTTATTCTGCGTGTTTCGTCTCGGGCCCGAATTGCTCAAGTGTGGAAGTCTGTCTTTATTTTCTGCGAGTATTTTCCCGTAGCAACACTTTGTCAAGCTGTCCAGCGACAGGAGGAACTACAAGAGCTCTCTTTGCCGTAGAAAACGGTTTCATTGGATAATAAATTGCTATCCAGGATTCTCTCGTATATATTCCCTCCTAGCACTTTCGACGCGTTCGTCACCGCTGACAGGAGGAGTCGATTGTTGTGTGGTGACGGAGTTGTAAACGGGACAAGTGGATTCTCGTTCTCGCAGTTCACGTCATTGTAGAACGCTAGAAGACCAACTTGAACTTCTCCCGATCCGGCCAGGCAAGAGATATAAAATTCGACGTTTGCCCTCCTCGGTGACTAAGGTTGTGTTTCCGGAGCTGTGTCTGAAAGCCGGAACTTTCCTCCGGATGTGACAAAAATAAACTTCAGCAAATGGTCGAATGGGTCCCGACTTTTCTCAAAACTTTTATTTTAGGATCTGACCGCCCGATACTTGAACTCCATCTATTCATCACTGTTTTTCTGGCTCTCCGGGGAAAGTCTCGGCGCTTTCCATCATCGACGAGGGCTGTCATCGGAAAGTGTCACGAGCCCTAGTGTTAGGCATTCATCCGATGCGATGATTGTTTAGCGTCCAAACTTCGAATGAACGGTTTGGGAATTTCCGGGAGGAACGAATTGGCGTCGCTTACGTGGTTCTTTGAAGTTCTGAGTCGGAACGCGATATTCCGGATCTGATCGTATCTGTTGGCTCGCTCGATAGATCAAATTTCGCAGAAGATTAGGGTAAACCATCTCGATTTCGTCCGGACAGAGAGTTCGATCCGTAAGTCGCAGGTTTGGCTACGGCATGGCTGAGATCGACCGAGACTCGAGAACTTCCGGCCGCGATGCATTTGATTGTGGATCAACAAGGAAAATTCCGAGGACTCTAAGACCGCTCCAGATCACGATCGATCGGATTTTTTTCGGCGGTTCGGCTCATTCGCGACGCTTAGATCTCGTGCCAATATGGTGCTTGGAGCGGTAGCGATTCGTCGCTTCATTGATGCGCAAAATGAGAAGCATGACGGAACTTTTTTCTTTCGGCGCTTCGAAGGAATAACTCAGCTCGCATAGGTAGAAGTAGAAATCCGCTTAGGGCTTCCGAATCCCGCCCACGGATCTTCTCATAGACCGTCCCTGAGCGTTGGAGCCTTCTGATTCTAGTGTTCAATTACAGGTGTACTGGCAGTTTGCCGCGAGATGGGGCTCTTATCCTGTTTCCGTAAAGTACAGCATCTGGGATTTGTTCTTTCCGGAGACTCACTTCTACGACTTCGAGGAGATCTTTCGTACTCTCCGGCAGATGACATAATCCTTCCTAAGGGTAAGCTTTGACATCGTAGCTCGGAGCCTAGGAAACCAGCATTCCTTTCCAGTAGGCATTCCGTCCTCCCGCGCGATCGGTGTCGATCGAGAAAAAATCTAGATGTTTGAACTTTGAAGGCTCTGTTCCAGGAGAAATCTCCGCGATCGCGGCCCTCAGTCCGAGGAAGATCGTGATCGTGTGTGGATCTGACATCTTCCTTTGTTCGAAAAAGAAAATCGTCAAGATCTACGAAGGTGGAACGATCAAACCCCTCATTGGATGCTGTGGAAGTGAGTAGTCGATGTCTTGCGCTGTCCGTTTCCGAAAATGAGGACCTAGATTCCCCCATCAGAGGCTCTGCCGGGCTCTGGTTTCTGACTAGCGACTTATCGGGTCTCTGTCGGCACTCGGAGACTACGAATCCCAACGATGCTACGCTGACCGATCCGTCAACCGGTAGTCTCCGCGAGTCGATGTACATATCAAATTCGGTTTGACCATTTTCTTTCATTCTCATTCGTGATCTTGTTGTCATAATCCGGTTATCATCGATCGGAAGTAGTATCCCCCGACGGTCAATGGCTGCCGTAAGCGCTGTTGTGATCTGTTATCATCGTCCAACGCTTCCGAAGCGTCTGTTGTCACCACCGGGGCCATGGGACGAGCGCTGGGTTAAGCAACGGAAGAGCGGCTGTAAACCACCTGGGGGCACGTCGCCGGCGGGAGCGAACGTCTCGGCGCTCACCCTTCGAACGTCGTCGGTCGTCAGAACCGCACTATGCAACGGAGAAAGTCGTTGATTATGAAATAATGAAAATCGTTGCTTGTTTAATCCGCCAACATCGGATTCGCATGATTAGGCTTCGATGTACGGTTATCCGGCAAGTCTGGATCGTCGACTTCCTTCGTCGGATCATTCCTCCGCGGGCGGCTGATTTTGGTCGGGGTTTCCGCCCGGCGTGGGAGTTAGTCGAGGCAAGCGTCACTCACTTTTCTGTCAGTGACCACGACGCGTTGCGTAAATGGTCAGAAATCGTTTGAGAGTTCTATGTGAGCTACTCTGTCGGACCATTCCGCTCAGGAGCCGACGACGGCTTGCCGCTTCTGAATCCATTTCATCTATGAACCCGCGAAAATCTCGTTGACTCGGGAGATAGCAAGAACTTGAGCTCCCAGGAAACCGCAGGATTTCCGTGAGAGGTATTCGATCCTCTGGGATGCTCCGAGCTCCGACTCTCTCGATGCCTCTCTTGGACCTGCCGCACACAACTCCGTGGTTTCTCCTCAAGTCGAAAATATTGAAATGCGGACAAACGGAACACCGTTCTGATAGGAGTGCAGCGGTAGTCAGAAAATTTCACAAAGTTATCCTTACAGAAACTTTGTTCGCCGCGTTGAATGGACGGCGGCAGATCCATCAGTACAATGTCAAGGACCGAAAATTTGAGCCTCTCTGCATTAAATTCCAAGATGAGGATGAGAAACTCTTCAGTATCGGGAACTCTAATGTAGACTCGAAGACTCTGTGTCTGGTCGTGTACAAACAGAACGAGGCGATATCCAGGTACGTAGTCATTCAGCTTCCTCAATGAAGGGAATGAAAAGAGGTTCCTCGTGTAGAGAACGTAATCGGTAATGCCAGTGTGTGATTGGAACTATTCCGACTTTCCAAACCACGAGCTCTGACGGTAGCGCTTTGAATTCAACGAAGACCCGTCGTTTCCCTAGGGTTCTGGAAGTCGACCTCAATACCTTCGACAGAAGAGATCTCAACTGTCCGGGTGACGTGATGGCAGTTTATCAATGCGGTGATCGCATCTTCGCTACGGGGAGCGTATCCGCACAAAATACCAAACAGGTGAGACCATCGACTATTTCCAAGGTGAACGGCGCGCTGCAGCAAAAGCATCTCGGAGAAGCTCCGACCGACTCCCCTGATCGCTTCGTCGGAGACGGAGACCGAGTTGAATCTGTCGCCGCGGGACGTTGCCGGGAGCGCCGAGAAGTCCAAAATTCTACGGGCCCAGTTTCTGGATTTAGAAACTCCCGAATGGGAAGTCGCTGCCCTCTGCTCTGAGCGACACAGAGAAAACGGCGCGGCGTAAGAAAGAGGCTCGATAGCGACGTGCTCCAAGATCGGACCAGCGTTCACTCAAATTCTTGCTTTTCAAGTTCTACGAGCTCAACTGTCGGACCAAGACGTGGGTCAAACGTGCCGATCGGACCCATGGTGTGACGAATCAAACCACCGACAAGGTTCTGTTCGTGGACGGTTTCTTCATTAGTTTCGTGGAGAAGGCTGCATCGTCCGGGAAAGAAGTCATTGAAGTTTACGATGTCAAGAAGGAAGTCTGGAACTCACAGGACTCCGAGTTCTCAAGGATCCGCGCGGTCGCTTGTTGTTGAAAGCCATCAAGGATTGGAATTTAGAATTTCTGATAGGTACCGTGATCGACTCCCAAATGCCAAACGAATAATACCAGCTGCGCTTCGATACAGTCGACTAGAAGTCAACTGATTCGTATGTCGAAGCGTTCCCTCCTCGAGATCCTGTACGATAATTTCCCTCAATTCCGCATCGACGCAGGGACAACCCACAAAATGTAAATATCGGAAAAGTGAAACAAGAGGAAGTGTCATTTCAATGGGTGATTCAGACAAGGCGACTGTGATCGTCTTTTGCGCACTGCATGAAACTCACGCTCGTGGGCCTTGGCGTGCTAAAGCACAAGACAATAAACGAACGGAAGGTGTTCTAATGGAGGGAAATTCTTTATTTCATCGTGAGTATATAGTTTGTATTTTTTATCAAATCCAGTCACATTTCATCAAGTTGGGCATTAGGGAGAAAAACTCCACGGGTATATCCTGATACACAGCTGAACGCAGGAAGAATCGCATTTGTACATGGAATCATCCCGAGCGTAATGAAGGCATAAATATACAAAAGATCGGCGGAGAGAAGCGAGGATGCCGTGCGCATAGAGTCGACGAGAAATTGGAGCAGACGTATTCATCAACCGCCAGCCTCACGGTTTAGGTCCGTATATGTATACAGGATTACACAGAGGGATTATAATTCATAATATTCGCAGATGGGTACTTGGAGAGAGCGGAAAAATCCTCAACGGAACCACATTTGTATCACTAATGCTCAGTTTCATCTGTTCCGAGCTCGGGGGAAGAGCAGAGACATTTTCGAGTTTTTCCTATGAAAGGACCTCGCGGGCTTTCATACTGGGATTGGGTCCACCCCCTCCATCGCCGGGTGTGATTGACGTCGAGTTTTGAGCGGGACAATCAAGGTGAGTAATATAGAGGTGTCCATCACTAGGTTTAGACCGTAAAATCCACCGAGCCTACGATTCACGAACTTTCCGTGAGAGTGTTGTTCACGAATATTGGGCTCGACGACTCAACCATGGGCGATTCGATCTACCTGAATGCCGATGACGATCCTTTCAGATATCCACAATGAAGGCTATTTCCTGCTCTTCTACCGGCTCCTCGGTGAGCATTGGTTCATCTCGCACATCTTCATCGTCATGAGAAGCATCAGCGCGCGGGGCTAAACTCCCATGAAGATCGACGGGTTCCTCGTCTGGGAGAACTTCTTCTTCGGCGGTCAGCGGGGACGCACACGGGGATCCTTTTTGAAGGTCACCTGATAGGGAATCGAGTTTCCTCCACTGATTCAATTCATCCCTGGAGCGGGGGGCGGGATTTTGAATAGCATCGGAATCGGTATGGAATAATAATTACTATTCCATACCGATTATATAATCGGAGGCGTAAAGAGTCTGATCGTACCTTGATTCACAGAGCTCGTGTGGGACCTTTCCGAAGCCGGACTCTTATGTTTACGCTTCTTACCACCTTCATTCGGAATATCTGTGCGGAGAGACAGCATACTTGAGCGCATTTTGTTGACCATGAACTCGGGAACCTTGAAACTAGCGAGATCGTCGACCTGAAATCGAAAACTCAATGGTTAGATGTTCCAGAAATCGCGAGTGCCGAGCTCCGCCCAGGATTCGACGATCCTTCTACTCGAAAGGGGAGAGCGCAGAAAGCGCACTTTGCGAAGAAAGTGACGCTGACCTCAACTCCAGGTGCATCTCTATATTCCTCGGAGTTGGCGAGATGTTGAATGTCTTCTAATAAGAGCAAGAACGCCCTGCCACCGGCGGACGGCATGAGTCCTTGTTCGTATAGCCAAAGCTTATCTTCGGCGTCTCCGCAATATCGGAAGACATCCTGGTGTTTCATGTAGAGACGACCCCGTTGAGCACCCAAACCCAAAGCCTTGTTGGCTTTGGCACCCATCACAAAAAGCGTTTCCTCGGTGATTCGCGCCGGATCCCAACGAGGTCCTTCCCGCTTCACGGCTTCGGAGGATTTGCAAGAAGAACGAGATGCAGGAGTGGAGCGTCCGGATCCGCAGGACCAAGTTTTCGTCTTGTTTAACTGGAAATACACGAATTCATCGTCAGGATCAGGAGGCTCTGCTCTCCGGGAACGATTATCCTCACGAAGATTGGGGTCAGCATGATCATTCCAGTCATCCAATAAAGAATGGACATTGAAGTGAACTCCGGAATCCATCAAGGAAAAACGGAGATGATGCTCACTTTTTTCTTTGGTACATATAGTGTATGGGCTTGACTGGCGTCGCTCTCGGAGTCCGACGGACAGGTTCTATTTGGCGAGTTACGATTCCTTCTGGAATTGTGATGATGTCTTTTTGGCAGATCGCTCCCGAGCAAGGGACTCGCCCTTCCGGACTCCTGGTCGGACAGCGGACTCAGTGCCCGATCGCTCCGATTTTGAGGTGACACTACGAATATTTTCTTCGCGTGCTCGAGCATCTGTCTACACACGGCTTGGAGGTGCTGTTCCGATATGGAGTTTTCGCCATTATTCATTCGTATATTTTCCATGCCCGGTTTGAAGTAGTCGGCCAGATACTTATCCATTATCTGAAAGTGGCAAGTTTCCCGCTCAGGTTCTCCGGATCACTTTCTGTGGTGCGAGCTCGAGGACCGGCTTAGACCGTGACAGATATCTGACTTCGATTTACCTGCCGGATCTCATTGTTCACGAGAGGCTGGACGTACTCCCTCAAGAGCTCCAGACTTCGGGTGGTTGACGTCACGCAGCCCGCCCTTGCTTTGTGCATCGAGATCGAAGTTCCCTTCTGGTATCCTGTCGTCGCCTGGAGATTCTGGGAGCGCATGTTGAAGTTCCCCTGCCAAGGAACTGCTTTCGACGGCTCGAAATCGAAGTAACAAACTCCATTCACAATATGTTGCGAGGTAACATCCGGCGTCGTGAAACTCTCCTCGCGGCCGTTTTCCGACGGCCGTCCTGCATAAACGGCAGAATTGTCAAAAAAAATCCGACATCCTCCAAGAAGAGCTTTCGTGGAAGATCAAAACTCGAGACCGTGCTGGGGAATCGAGAATTCGTTGAATATAACGCTCACCCTGCTCATCTCCAGATGATTCTCTTTCGCCGTTGTCCGACGGGGAGTATATCCTGATTTCGGGGATTACTGGTGCGTTGTGTAACATCGTTGCAGTCATCGAGCTCCCGGGTATAGGTTCAATCCGATTGGGGAATATCCGGATCGGTGTGATTAGCGGGAAACATACTGAGCTCGGAAGATGCTTCCCACTCAGACAGGGTGCACTCCGAAGCACCGGCTCCCTGACTGAGAAGGAAGCAGAAGAGACCGCACAAGCTCCATCGTTCGCGGCGGAGCCGGACTATCTCAACTTCTCGGGGACCATCCGGAAGGACCCACTCACGAAAGTTTCGCGGAAACTTCGGCGCACGCGAAGGAGCAGTTTTCCCTTCTGAGAATCGGGTGAAGTCTCTCGACGACAGAGTCACCTGAGCTCTCTTTTTCCAGCGCTTGTGATCCCTTCGGAACTAGGATGAACTCAGGTTCGAGCCCCTGCGTCTCCCGATGAAGTATTCACCTCGGATTCGAAACAGAGGTATTACCGTTCGTTGTTGACATCGTAAACGATGGAAAGAGTTCGCTCGAGAGCACGGAGGGTAAAGAAACACTCGACATCAGCGCCAGCGACGGACGGACCTCGAAGCTCGCGAGCGCGCCCACCTTCGTCGCCCCTCAGCGAATCCCGGAGCTCTGGGCCGTCGATATGGCCAAACAGCGTCGATTGATTCAGCTTAGCGAAGGGACATGAGAATCGGCAGTCTTCTCGGCGTACGCTTCCGTGACAGAGGCGCTGAGCACTCGATAGATGGCGGGGGCTCTCACTGACGCTGAGGACTTGGGGCCGATACACCAGCACAGGATAGGTAGGGCATTGACGGTTCCTATCTCAATGAAGACGGTAGTGTGGAAGCACATACCCGATGTCTATTCGAGGGAACCGCTGCATCTATTTTCGAATTGCCTCTCATAAAGCGTACAGGGAGTATCGGATGGGAGCGTAGGGTTCTCGAATAGAGGATGGTATCACCTCCCGGGCTGCTTACGGGATTCCGAGGCTTCTTTGTGCAGTCCGGATCTTCTGCCACGATCCTTCGATTGACTGGAGCCCGAGACGATGGAACGGATGCCGTTGAAAACATCATCCGACACTGAGCCTTATCCATCCCTGTGTGTTCGCCGTTCAGCCTTCCTTGGCGGCTCGATCAGTACCTTCGACGACCGTCGCTGTATGTATGTATGTAAAATGTATCCGTCGGGTTTCACGGGATGGCTAATTGAGCAGGATGAAGACCTGATTGTACATTGGGCTCTCGGTCTTCATAGTCATTCGCGCAGAAATCTCGTGAAAGCAAACCATTAGTTAGTAGAGTTAACAACGAAGAAGAGGGAGAGCATCTCCAGCGGGCCATAAACGATGCGCGGAGGGCGGACAGAATCCCTGGTACTCCAACTCTCCGTTGAAAAATGCGTTGTGATGCACTGTGGGAGAGGGAATAAGCGGCGAACGTATTTCATCAATGAAAGAAGCTTGATACGACGACGCGCGTACGCGACCTCGAAGTGATCACAACCCCCGATTTCAACTACAGTGAACATAGTCGGAAGGCTGCCAGATAGACGAATTTCATCCTAGGCGCATTTGTTGCAAATGACATCGACCTATACCTCAGACTGTTCAATTCCTACGTGTTTCCAAAAGCCACTGCTCACCCGTCTGGAACCCGAGATTGGCGAAAGACACGAAACTCTTCTAGTCGATCTGTGGGAGATTCCGACGGAGGCTTGCCTACCGTTGTGGAGTGGAGAGTAGCCTAGTCGATCAAAGGGTCTGGGCAAAACCTATGCAAATTCTGCCCTCCGAAGCCGATCTGATCATGTGGGGTCTCATTTTGAAGGTAATTTCGAGAGGAACATTTTCCGCATGGTCCCGGATCCGATCGCACCTCGTGGTCCCCGTAAACGCCCAAAGAAGTTTTTTCTTCAACCCCTTCTATCTCGAGAACGGCTATAGCTACAGAGTCGTGCGATAGCGCGATTGAAAGCTCTCGACGAGAGCTTTCATTTGATACTAATATCGACCTATATGGCCGTTCCTAAGGCTTCAAAAAAGAGAAAACAAGTTTTCGGAAGCTTCGCTTTCATACTTCCACACGAGACGCCACTTTGATACTTTGTCAGATAAACGTCCCAAGTGTCCCCCATCCATTAGAAATCATATCAGGAAAATCGAAGTGTCACTTTTTGTTGAAAAAAAATATTATTTTCCCCGGCCAAAATCCGTTTTTTCCGGAGTTTTCCCGTTTCGCCCCTTTTTCGCCCGATTACTCCTAAACTAGCGCTAGGAGCCCGTTTTCGAGCCCGGATTCTGAAAGCTGAAGCCGAGAGCTTTCGATTGCACCCCCTGGTCACCCGATTCGGCCTCAGGGACAGGAGAAAACGTCCATCCTCAGAGTTTTCACCCAATCCCATTGAGGAAGCACACGGATGTCGCGATTCAGGGTGACACTCATTAGGACTCATCGGGTATCGAGAGATAAACACGAACTATAGTCCTTCATAAAGACTTCGACTTTATTCAGTCATTAGCTCCATCCGCCTCTGACTCCGTTTCGCCTCCAGACGGCAAAAATAGATTTTCCAGGTTCGCTGCCGGACGAGAAATGGTGTCGAGATGTCTCGCATGAGAGAGATAGAAAACCGAAGCAGCAACGTGCGAAAGAAGAATAAGGATTTGCTGTCCCTGCTGACTGAGGGCAATGTCCTCGTCGTCGACCGCCGATTCCGAGATACTGTCAAGAATATGGAGGAAATGGGTTTCCGAACGGTTATGCCGGCAATGAAGGGTAAGAGGAAGCAACTACCCTGCGACGAAGCCAACAAATCCCGTCTGGTTACGAAGGTGCGGTGGATCGTCGAGGCAGTCTATGGACGGGTCGCGCAGAGGTACAAGCTCCTGCACCATAGCCTTGATAACAAGCTCCTAACCAAGGTTAAATCTCTGTGCGGAATCATCGGATATCTGGAGAATGCTTACGGACCCCGATCGTGGGGAGAGGGCGAACCGAGCGAGGTCGTCATTGACCACATGGAACATCGTATGAACCTGCCGAACACTCTCGGGTCGCGGGTTGAGAACGAAGGATGGAATCGACGTCGGACCCTCCTTCAGAGGATTTCCGCCCAGGACCTGACCGACTTCCCGAAGCTGACTGAAAGTCAGCTTCTCCTGTTTGTTTCTGGACCATACCAAATCAACCTCGCACGGTCCTACCTGGCGGAAATGATGGACGGCGACGGTAACATCGAGATGAAATTCGTCAGGCAGGCGCCGAACGTCGTTCAGCTCCAAGTAAGGTCCCGCCACGTAAATCGCAAAACCTACAGGATTTACATCCTTTACCATCCAAGCGAGAACAGTATCGACGGAATCGCGGAGTATTGGTGCGAATGTCCAAATGGCAACAGGACGGTGGGCTGTTGTTCGCATGTTGCTGCTGCAGTTTTCTACCTCTCGTATGCGAGATATCTCGACACCATTCCTCGTCCGGCAGCGAACCTGGAAAATCTATTTTTGCCGTCTGGAGGCGAAACGGAGTCAGAGGCGGATGGAGCAAATGACTGAATAAAGTCGAAATCTTTATGAAGGACTATAGTTCGTGTTTATCTCTCGATACCCGAACCGGAATCAAACTTTTTTCACCGTGATGAATATTCATTTCGATCGCTTTAACCCCTTCCGAAACGGTCATTCTCACTCTTGCAGCGGCAAATTCGGTGACGTCGCAATTGAGCGCGGTATGAATTCGAGCGCAGCAAGCATTCGATCACGGAGTGGAATAATGGCGCGGAATAAGACAAAAGCGTGGCGCGCATCTGGATGCGGCGTGAATTTGTGCGCGGCGTGAATCTGGTACGGCGGCGTGGTGGTTCGGGGAACTACCACGGATCCTGGGGTGAGTCCTTCTTTTTAACCACATCATCCTACATCATCGACGCCGCGTGAGTGGAAGCATCTATGGTCGTGAAGGTCTTTTACGATTAGTGATGACAGATTCGAGTTTGCGTCTGCGGGAAGCAATCTCGGGTATTCTTCATCTTCCGTCGGGTCGCGTGATCGTTCTAGTCTTGTTTTGCATCGGATGAAACCCTCTGGAACGGAGATTGGTGTGTATTGATAGAGGACGCTCGTTTTTCCACATTCGCGTATTCTTCCGCGAACAGGGTTTTCTGTGTTAGCTGTATGAGGCTTGACCTCACCGAGATCATTTCCGAGGCGTCGACTTCATTGAATTTTCTTCTTGCCGGAGTCGCTTTCTCTTTGTTGAGAACGCGTTGCCGAGCAAGTTGAGCTTCGGCTCTGAAACGTAACATGAGACACCAGAATCGAATGCTCGTCTTCCACGACGAGAATGCGTGCTCGAAGAAAATGTTGCCTCTCGACTCGTTGCGATCGTATGCCATGTTCAGGCAAGTCGACACCTTCGGCTTCCTTCCGGGATCCCAGACAGGTATGTCGTTTGTTCGGGAGAGTGTGGCGTTATCTCTCGCTGTCTGGCCGAGTCGTTCTTCATCGTATTGGAGCCATTCGGGGTCCATACCTATGATATGGATCGAAAAAGCCTCTGCATGTAGACACCATCGCGATGCCTCTCAAAGGGTGAATGTCTCTCGATCCTTCGCTTGTGCGAGCATTAATTGATATCTGGCAGCACCCGTCGAAAACTCGGATGAACGATGCGGTGTATAGGTTAAGTTATCCATGAGGACCTTCCTTAGAGGCGAACTTGGGGCCAGATTGGAAGACTCTCCCTGGGGACTGAAGCCTGGCAGCACCATTTGCTCCACGAACCAATGTCAGAGCTGGCCCCTGACGCGCTCCGCGAATGATTAAGCAGCCTAGTTCCCAGCTCAGTGGAATACCAGCAGCCGGCATACGGCAGGCCCATCTTTCCACAACCGAGAGGACCGGGTGGGGATGCGAGGGCCGGAGCCGCTCTATCGATCCGCGGGTCGGGAGCGTCGCAAATTGGCCTCTTTGTACTTCCAAGAGTTTATCCCGCAGCGCGACCCAACCGCTCATTAGTGGTGGTGGTTTTTGCTTGCGAAGCACCCACTTTACAAGGAGCCCCTTGGAAGCCCTGCGGCTCCCCATAATTTAGCTCTGAAGCGATGTTCGTCTCCTTCGGTATCTCACGGCGTCATCGACAAAAGCAGACCAAACTCTTTGTGTCGATATTCATGGATCTGAGAACAACGTATGACGATTGGATTATTCACCTGCTGGAGCAACGAGTTATATCTTTTTTCGTCATTCGAGCTCAGGGAATGATCCGAATAAGAATCTGGTATTACGTGTCCGACTATCGTCGCTCGAAACGCGGCAGAGACCTGTAGATGCGGGATTCTGAAAACTCGTGCCGGAACACACCCGGAGCTCCGACACGGACAGGCAGAGCGGCTTATCCGCGTCGAATATCCGCTGATCGAGATTCGAGGAGATCTGCACTGGAATCCATCCCATCGCGAAAAGGGAGTCTTATCTGACATCTGGAAGCCTCACCTGATCGGCTGTCGGACCTTTTTCAAAAATGAGATAAAATATTGCGGGCGTTGGAAATCTATTCTGAATGCGCTAAACTCATGCGCCGACTAGCTCTACGATTCGCCACGCCTCCACGATGAAGGTCTTCCGCTCATCTCGTTCGTCAAGGCGGACTCGTCGATCGCGATTCATCAAGAGAAGCTTTTTTATCGGCCAGACTCCGCAATCAGCCGAAATCAAACATCAATCAGCAGATTCTCGAGTTTCACCCTTCGCTCTCGAGTGTTCGGAATGCTCGTGATCGACGGTCGGAGAATAATCCGCTCTGGACTCCATTGGATACCGTCGCGGAGTCCTGTGTTCATCATTCGTATAGCACATTGGCATCATTCGTATGCTGGCTGTGCTCGTCGGTGGACCCATCCTCCCAGCGCTTGGGCCATAAAATGAGCGTCTGTGGTAGCCCAGACATGCCCAGAACCCCGTTTCGAGAGCGAAGGGGGCGAATTTCGAGTCGATCCTGGAATTTTACATCTGCGATGCTCATCGTCGGGAGAATAGGCTCTCCTAAAGGATGATGCGTAGCATCGGATGTGCAATCGATCGAGGATCGAGCCCACTGGTCCTCGGTCTTTCCGCCTACGACTCTACGAGGGTATCGGTCTCACTCGGATGTCCTCGGACGGATTATGTACCTCTTCGCCGGACACTGCGAGGGAGCCTCGTACGATCCTCGTCAGTGTCTCCGACTGAAAAATATCCGTCGGATGTCGCTTGTATCGCCTCCGTAGAATCACAGGGAATATCTGAGAACAAGGCTGGCGTTGCCCCCTCGAGAAACGAACGTCGAGCGAGTCTCCGCCATGGTCGTTGGTAACCGTGATGGACACCGTGATGGGTGAGCCATCGCCTCGAGGAATCATCGCCCGCAGGTCCAGATGCGGGGCATCGGGTACCGGGCTGATTTCAGTTCTGAAAGGGTGCTCAAGTCTATTCGAAGTACACCGGACGAGCAGGAATTTATCAGCCGCATGGAGTGGGGATATTTTTCAGAGACTGTACTGCGAGCCGGGGGCGCGCGCTCGGATGGCCGAATAGAATATTCTCACATGTTACGTTAGACCGGTAGGAGGGCGCTTTTTTCGATGCCCCAACGCAAAAGAGCGCTCGCAGTCGAAATTCTCTATCCGGATCATCTGGGGAGTTTCCCAGCTTGACTCCCCATGCTGTAGTCCTCGGAGTGCTTACTGAATCCTCCGCTGCGAAAAATCGCTCCGAAATCGCGTTCTTAGTTCTAACGAAAATCTATCCTCACGGGGAACGGACTTTGCGTTTGATGTTGTAGATTTCGAGAAGATGTATATCCCGGTCTATTTCAATATCTCCCTGTCTTTGAGGTGCCCTCCTGTCAGGTCAGTGCGACTTCCCGAGAATCGGGGAATTGAAGCGCCTGACCATTCCACTGTGTGGAAGCGCGCGAGATCCGGCGGCCGAGTCGACAGGCGCATGGGAGCTACAGCGATCCCGTCTGTTTGCCGCGAGTAACGAGGGAATCAAGAAATCGCGTCGAGGGACTCCCTTCGCTCCCACCGGATCTTCCAGACCGTGTCCATCAGCGATTACTCGACGACGAGGAAAGCTCGCGACTCGGGAGCGCATCATTGGGGAGTCGAGCAGTGCTCGGGTTCCAGTGAAACTCGGAGCGCCTCCTTTGACGAATCTGCCGCCTCGCCGATGGCCCTCGTTTGAGTTGACCGACCGAGTATCCATCGAACGGCGACCGATCCCGACGACCACGAAACGGAACCCGCGGCCAATCCGCGTCTCCGAAAGAATGTGGAAAGCGAATAGCAGTAGCTGAAGTGGAGAGGAGGGAGCGGTCCCATTGAGACCTAACGGAGATTCGAACTGGCGCGTCAAAAGCCGCCATGCTATACACTCACTCACTAATGACAATGACTGATGGCTGCTCCGCTATCCGCTAGATCTCGCCAAGTATACATAGAAGTCTCTATGTATTTTCTGTCGCCTTTTCGAGGGCTCTCGTTGGAATCGGTCAGCGTGTGCAGGTCGGCAAGTTGTCCCGGTGAGTCCTACTCTTAAGCCGCACATCGGTAGGAGGTAAGTTTGCCATGTGCGCGACTTCGCCGAATTCGTCACTGGAGCGTCCGTCTTCAGCATGCCGACTCTCGGCGGCCAAAGTGAAAATTCCTCACTCACCGCTCGTTTCTCGAGCATCCGAAAGGCTGAAGAAAGTTTCCAGACCTAGTAGAGGATTAAATGGATGTGGGGCAGTCGTGACGGTCCCTGAGCGGTCTGCATCCTCACATCAAACGAGCGGACATCGAGAATTCTATTGGTTCGAATTTCAAATCTCCGTAGCACTTCGGCCCTAAGTCGGCCCTTGGTGTGCTCCCGACACTAAGATATTGACATTCGACGCCAAGCGTCGCGAGCTACCCATAATCAGATAGGCTCTTGCGGCTCACGGCATCCGAGATGTGCTTCGATACTGAATGGTACCGGACGAAAACATTCCTTCCCGGAGCGGCATCTCGCAGCCAATAGCGAAACTCAGCGGAACGCCACCCGAGACGGTTGGTAGATGCCCCCCATCCGGGGTGATTCGGAGGCAACAAGCCTTTTTCCCCCTGGAAGCCCATCTGACCTATGTCTCTCGGAAGAAGACTCGTGCCGAACCTAAACAAGGCGATACCAATCGCTCGCTCTGGGATGGCAGCGCAGTTTTCTCCTACTTCTCCTAATTATCGAGGATAATTTGAAGAACCTGGTGAGTTCGTCGTCGGTCCTTCCATCATGGCAGTAGAAGTTGGACGACCTGTCATTCGGTCTTTTGACTCAGTGTGGCGGAGCTCGGAACCATCCAACGAGGGAGCCACAGGTGGGTCGCTGAGTCTGGGTCGCCGACTGAGCGGAGCGATAGACGATGGTTCTATCCCTTCTCATCGTTGTCATCGATCGCCAGATCGAATTTTCAGGAATCTCATGCAGCATCCGAGAGCGCTATCGGATGTTGCGGCTTCGAGAGCACGATTTTGCGGGAGTCAGCGAGCGACGCGGGGTCCGCAACTTCATGCGCCTAGAAACCGTATGAATACCACCGGGTCTTCTCGGAGAAGCTCCTGATCACGGCGAAGTTTCCCCGCTTAAAACAATAGTCCCGGGCGCTTCCTGGATCATTGAGTGTTCATGACCGTCGCTGAAGCTTATAGCGCTTTCCCTCAGACCGCTTGAGAGGCAATTTGGATTTTCAGTCGACCCGCTCAATTAGGGAGCGGACGAGCCCGGGGAAGTCAAGAGCAAACTCGATAGCGACTGCTGCCGTAATTATTCTCGAGCAAGTCGATTCGGAAAGTCCCGCCCCGCCATACCTCTCCCTTTGCGTAGGAGAGCACCGCCAATCAGTAGAATCCCCCCTACAAACCGCGCTGTCCTCTGATTCAGTTTCCATTCGGAATCCATGCAGTCTCTGGATCACGGCTCCCGGTGAGCGCGGGAGTTTCCATCGAGCATTCCTTTTCCTCCTACATTTTAAAGGCGTATCCGCGCGTTCATTCATCGTTTGTATTGACTCGCGTTCGGATCCCTGAGGTTGCCATCGATGTTTTCTGTGCACCGTTGGTTGAGGTTTTCTATCAAAAATGATTCTTTCCAGGTTCATCTCCAGCGCGCGGGCTCCATGTATTAGGATCTTCATGCAAAATAAGGGGGGGAATCCGGAGTTGGGTGCGTGTATTTTTTAATTTAATAGTGAACTTCGAGGAACTCAATAACAGCCCTCATAGATGTCTCGGCCGAAGGATCCCCCGCCACGGGCACAGCATTCACGGCAGGAGGTGGGTGGGGCTGTGCAGCAGCGTGGCATTTTCCCGTGGAAGTTTTTAGACTCGTCTTCTCGCCTGACCTTTAGACCAATCCGAATCATCAAAACTCCGCGCTTTTCAGCAAAATGGCGACGAGGAGAGCCCGCAATTACAATGCCATCTGTGGGCCAGGGACGTCCAGACGTTACTCAACGACGAGACGGGATGCGCCCTCTTCGAGAGATTTCTTCAAGAGGAGGAGTGTGATAAGTCGGAATTGTGCTTCATTTACGTTTGTCGCGGTCTCCGGTAAGGGCAGCTTCCCGACAGAAGTTTCAAGCCTCATGACTACGAATGGGATTGTATCATCAGACCGAAGGAAGGGGAAGTAAATTGAGAACGCCTTTCCTTACCAGTTTAAATCTCAAGTCCGAAAAGAGGGATCGCTCCGCCTGGGCGATCTACAGAAGTTGTTTGAAGAGCGGCATAGTCAGCGCTGTGTCCGACGATGTCAAGGCGACCATCAGAGAGCGACTCGAAGCGGGCGACATCGGACCTGAGCTCTACGACGAAGCCGTTCAACAAGTTGAGGAAAACATGACAAAAACAACCTTCGTCAGATTTATTCAATCGGACATCTATATCGAGCACGTTCAGCGTGTGATGGCTTGCGGGGAGGGTGCCGACTCCACACCGCCGACGGATAATGACCACAACGAAGATTTTGAATCTAGCAAGTCTCCGGTGAATCTCGATTCTGACGAAGACTCACCACCTCCGATAACGCATAAACGTGCCAACAGCAATGCTCCGAGCGGCGATGTGGCGAACGACGACAACAACAACGACAGTTTCTTCGCGAGTCAGATGCCCACTCTCGACGAGGATGATGAGCTGGAGAACTCGACCCTCCTACCGTCTCGGTCGTCGGGCCAGAGAAAAGCGTCGCACGCGGGTGCGCCGCCCCCGAGACCACCTCAGAGCAAAATGATTCAACTTCAGAAGCGACAGAGTCAGATTGGACTGAAGTATATCGAGAATATCGGCCAGCCTGGCTTCCGTCCGCCGCCGAATCCGTATCACGTGAATAACTCGTACTTCGTGCCGCCGTCGGCCTACCACTCGGATATGCAGAGCTTGTCTTCTGGAAACTACACTGATCTCGACAACGATGGCAAACGCATCGATCATCACAGACGGCACTCCAACGAGATCGACCGACGAAAAACTCAAAGGTCAGTGATCGTTCGATGTTCCCCTCGTCTCGAATTCGCCACTGCCTAGTAGGGGACCGAGTGAGGCTCGAAGGGACTCGCCGGCGGTCTATGGAGCGTCGTGACTCAATGCGTTTGTACTAATTGCAGGAAAACCATCAATGGCCGTGACCCGCTTCCGCACACGATACAGAGGACACAGTTTTTGATCGATCGGAACGGCGAGAACTTGTTACGAGAACTACCGAGTGATAACCCCAGGGAGTTTCACCGTATACTTTGTGAAAAACTACAGAAGGTCATCGGGGAGTCTACGGAAGACGACGTGGTGAGTTTCCCCCAGATTAATTTGCCCCTTGGAATAATTCGAATCCGATCTCGAATCA